AGTTAATAAGTCACAATTTTATCCAATATCCTTATTTCATAAATGGTAGTACTATCATTGAAAATGGTTTATAAATGTCACATGGTTTATACATGAGCAGTAAGAAATATGGAGTTATGATAGTTTAAATGTTTTTAATCATCATCTCGATCATATGACTTTTATCTGTCTTTTGCTGACGATCTTATTGTTTTCTCTAATGCTGAGAAAAAAACCCTTCAATTTCTGCATAATACCATTGTTGAGTATGAGAGGTTCTCTGGTCAACTCATCAGCAAAGAAAAAAGTTTTTACCTCATTTCTAAGCATGCTAAGAGCCATGCTATAGTAAATATTGAAATTATTTTTAATATAAAAAAGGCTCTTTCCCTTTTACTTACCTGGGGGCTAGTATTTTTACTGGGAGATCCCTTAATTCCTATTATGATCATATCCTAACTAAACTTGATAATAGGCTTTCGGGCTGGAAACACAAATTGCTTTCTCCGGGCGGTAGAATTATTCTTATTCACCATGTTCTTAGCACTATCCCCTTATATTATATGGCCACCTCTCCCCTACCTAGGCATACCATTTACAAAATTGAGAGGAAACTCTCTAATTTTCTTTGGGATAAAAAGGATGACAATCATAGGCATATTTGGCGTAGTTGGCATAAGTGTTGTTACCCTGTTTCTGAAAATGGTCTGGGGTTTAGAAGCTTGGCCCACATTCAAAAAACTTTTTTCCTCAAACTGATGTGGAAAAGCAGAAATAATATTCGTATTTGGGCTAACTGGTACAATGCTCTTCATGATGACAACCGATCGGTTATGAGTAAGGCTTAAAATTCTGTGTATAATATCTTTGAGGAGAACTGCGGCATCAAGGTGAGTAATGGCTCTAGCTCGTTTTGGTTTTCTAATTGGTGTGACATTGGCCCTTTATATATTCATTTTGATGATATTCCTGTCCACCTTAGCCAGATAACTATAAGGGAGGCTTTGCCCGACAACTGTTTGATCCCGGCCCTTAACAATTGCATTCCTAGGTACCTTAAAGACAAAATCAAAGATACTAAAATCCACTTCACGGACAGTGAGGATGGATATCTCTGGAAACCTAACCCAAACTGCAATTTCAGTTTTTCTAGTGCCTATGATGTGATTAGGCCCAAAATGATTGTTACGAGTTCTTCTAAATTCGTTTGGAATAAGTGGATTCCAAAAAATATATCTTTTTTCCTTTGGAAAATGGATAACCGTTTACTTCCTTTTGAAACCCAACTCCAAAACTTTGGTATTTTTGGTCCGTTTAAATGTCCAATGTGCCCTGCAAGTGATACAGTTGACCACTGTTTTTTGTCCTGTAACTTCTCAAATTCAGTTTGGAAGTCTTTTGAAAACCTTCTTAACTTTAAGCCCGGGCATACTAATTCTATCCAAACCTATACTTCGATGTGGTACAATGAGTTCAAAAGTAATATTATGGGTTTTAACTATGTTATCCCTAACATAATCATTTGGACCCTTTGGAGAACTCGTAACAGACTTCTCTATGATAATAAAAGAGCTAATCTCCCTGAGGTAGTGCATGCTATAAAAACTGAAATTTTTGCCATTTCCAGTGCCAAACCTTTTCCCTCTAATACCACCCATACCCCTTTCACCATTTGTGAAACTGAACCCAATAAGCTCAATAATGCTTTAGATGTTAAGTCCTGGACAAAGCCTCCCGCTGGTCGCCACAAAATCAACATTGCCACAAGGCAGTTTACCCCTACACTGTGTCATACTGCTGCACTCATCCGTGATGAATCTGACAACTATTTTGGCCACACCATTTACACTCATACTAGTCATGATCTGACCATAGCCTCTTATGATGCTATCCTTGACACCCTGCTCCACATTAATAGTACTAACATGTCTAATTTTGTTCTTGAGGTTGATAATAGGGACATTTATGAAGGAATGAAAGGACTGTCACCTCAACATTGGAAGTACTGGACCAAGCTACAAGAGATCAAGAGAAGGCTCAAAAACTACAACTGTACAATCACGCATATCCATCCAAAGATCAATAGAGCAGCGGAGTATTTGGCTCTTAGAAACATTTCTATAAAAACCACGAATCATCACTTTAATCATTTTGTTGGTATCTTAAAGTTTGATGCAATCAGTTATCCTTACGTGTTTGATTCTGAGTAGGCTTTGGTATAATCCTCCTACTCTTTGTTGTATGTTTTCATTCATAAATAAACTGGTAGGGTGTTCCGTGGCCCCTACCCCAAGAAAGTCAGTACGCTTTCTTGGTCTCCAACCGGGACAAAAAAAACCAAAGTTACCTTTTAATTCCTTCACTGTCAAGGAGGATGCCACATAACAACTCTACTTACTTTAGGTTGTTTGATGGAATGCAAAACAGTCGTTCGTGCATATTCCTCCGCTTTAGCTTGGGCCAAATTCCACTGTATAGCTTGCTTCAGGATAAACCCTTTCAAAAACTCATGTGTTGCGTGCCTTCTAGATCTGCCAGATATTGAAAGCAAAACGGGTTGCATGAGGAATTTTCCCTTCCCTATCCCTTTCCTCAACATTCGTACTCACATCCCCCTCTCTAGATAAACCTCCCCATAATTGTCTCCAACAAGCCTTAGCAAATCTGCAATCTCTTAACATGTGCAGCAGAGATTCCTCCTCCATATTGCAAATGGGACAAATTGAGTCTTCTGTTAACTTCCTTTTTACTCTTTCAACATTTGTTAGGGCCTTTTTCTTAATAACTAGCCACATGAACACTAATTCTCTCGGTTGCTCCTAACTTCCAAATCCAAGCAACATTCATATCATTTTTATATGTAAATCCGCCCTCATAGGCTGATTTTACGGTGAATGTACCGGAGTTTGTCAACCTCCAAACTAGCTCATCTTGAATTTTGTCCATAATTGGTAAAGGGACAACCCTCACACGGTCTACATCCTCCTCTGGCAGAATAGATTCTAGTTCTTCAATTTTCCAAGAGCCCTTCTGTGTGATGAAATAAGCAACTTTAATTAAACCAGCGTTCACTCCAAGAGGTGATCCCAATTCTTCATAAAGTGCTCCCTCTCCCACCCAATGATCAAACTAGAATGAGATTTCATTCCCTATGCCTACCTTCCAGCCCAATCCCCGTTTAAGGATATCCCGACTCTATAGAATGTCCCTCCAAATGTGCGAAGAACTCTTATTCTTCTCCAAGCTCCAGAAAGATGAGTTTTTAATATACTTCGCTTTCATAATTTTAACCCAAAGCTTTGGGCTATCAAAAAGAAGCTCCCATCTCAGCTTTGCCAGTAAAGCCAAATTATTTTCCCTAGCCTTCCGTATCCCTAGTCCTCCTAGAGATTTTGGCTGACAAACTTCATCCCAACTCACAAGATGAACTCTCTTGGTTCCACCTGAACTACCCCATAGAAAATCTCTGTTAGCTTTATCTAATCTAGCACATATATTTGAAGGAAGCAGCACACTTTGCACAACATGTTGCGGGATTGCTGTTGTAACCGCTTGAATTAAAGTCCTTCTACCAGCCAAACAAAGTGTCTTCTCCTTCCATAATGAAAGTTTCTAGCTTATACGGTCCAAGACAAAAGAAAACATGTTTTTAGATTTTCTGCCATGCAAAACTGGAACTCCCCAATACTTCCCGAGATCCAAGGTTGCTGCAATCCCTGTGACTTCCTGCAAGTTGGAAATCAAATCTTGGTCTAGGTTTGGTGAATAGAAAATTCTTGATTTGCTTTTATTAATTACAAGCCCCGAAGCATTAGAAAATGTCTCAATTGTGTTCAACATCACTCTAACTTGACTAGGCGATGCATCCCCAAACAACATTAAGTCGTCTGCAAAAAAAGATGGGATACCCCAATCTCTGTTTTTCCCACTTTGATCTCCTTCCATCTCTTAGACGCCACTCCATTGTTTATAAGAAACGACAACCGTTCCATTGCCAAAATGAAAAGGTATGGCGATAGGGGGTCCCCTTGACGTAACCCTCTTTTAGGTTGGATATCCTGCAAAACTTCCCCATTCCAGATAATTCCTAATCTCATGCCTCTAATAGCACTCATAACTAAATTAGAAAATTCGGTGGGAAATCCAAAATCAGATAACGTAGTTTCCAGAAACTGCCAATTCAAACAGTCATACGCCTTTTGAAGATCCAATTTCATAACTAAACCACCTTTTCTTCCTTTTCTTTTTTGTAATGAATGCACAATCTCCTGAACAAGAATAATATCATCTGTCGTACTACGTCCAGGAAGAAAACTACTTTGAAACGGTCCAATAATTTCCCCAATCCAGGGTCGCATACGATTAACCAAAAGCTTAGATACTACCTTATACATCACATTAAGCAAGGTGATTGGCCGAAACTTACTTGTATCTTTAGGGTTCTGCTCTTTCGGAATTAGCACCATGTGTGCCTTAAGCATTTGAGATGGAATGTTACCTGTATTCAAAGCAGAATTAACAAAATCTGTGATTGTTTGTTTCACCGTGTTCCAAAAATGTTTATAAACCGCTGCTTGCACACCATCTGGACCCGGGCTGCTCCAACCTTTCATTCCGAACAAAGTGGCCTTTACCTCTTCCTCATCTGCCCTCTTCATAAGATTCTGACGTTGTTCTTCAGACAGCTTTTTTCCAACACAGTTCATTAAACATCCATTCCTTACATCAGTTGAATCTCCAAAAAAATATGTCTCCAAAGAAATCTAGCCTCAAAATCTCATGGGAGGCAAAATACTAAAATGGTTTCAAAATGTATTTAGAGATAATCATATTTTAGTAATTCAAAATATCATTAGAGACAATGTCATATGTTGCTGGTTGCTACTAATGCTATTTAGATGTATCTATATTTTTGTTAAAAAATTTAGACGCAATAAATCCACATTGCCTCAATAAATTTTAAAACAAAAGTATATGTTACATCACGCATAAAATTATACCCATTGGCTGCACTATTAAAATAGCAAGAGAAACAATAAATCCTTCAAGTAAATGCAATATATATATTTTACACTGAAAATAAAGTAGTGCCCTTAAACAAAGTATTTACATAGGTATTTTTTCAAACTAATATAGGTGTCGATAAATCTCAATAAAACAAAGCTCCAGCTAACTCAGTATCTACTATACATTATTAAGGGGGGATTTTAAAATAACATAAGTCTCATAAGTTTATTGAGCAATTCCATACTTCAAAATTCTCATCCGAAGTGTCCTCTTCAAGTTTTTTCCCTGCACAATTATGATATAATGGCCATCATGTTTCATAAGAAACAAAAAGAAGATGTGACCAAATTTTAGTGTTTGTAAGTAAAAAAAATCTAAGGATTGCTTGTTAAAAATGAAGAAGATTAAAAGAAGCTGAAGAAAACCACAAAAACCCTAAATAAAAAGAAACGGAATGCAAAAACACCTGATTGGATGAAAATTCATCCTGTGATATACACGTCAACGCTTATATATCAAGACCAAATAAGCAACATGATAGAACCTGGTATAAATCTCAACAGAGCAATAACAATTCCGCAGGGATTGAAGCAAGAACAGATCGATGAAAGTGAAATATTGAAGTAGGTAGTAATCAGAATAGGTATACAGATGCTGGGACTGTTCGAGAAGCCCACTCTCCAAGCCAAAATAACAATTCAATAATAGCCTCCTCTTTTTAGCTGACTCCCCCTTCTATTTATAGTCCATATCCACGCAGGGATAAAAGGAACTATTAACTAGTTAATTAACTAATAATAGACTTCTTGTCTTTTCTATCATACTCTTTAATGACTAGGCCCACTAATTATTTATTGAATAGGCCCACTAATTATTTATTCCTATCAATACTCCCCCCCTAAACAACCACCTTGTCCTCAAGGTGGGTGATAGGAGTCAGCCTTGACTATCAACTTTATCTTCATTCGAGCTCCTCTCCCTTCCCAGTACCACATTGCGTTCTGGCTCTTTAACTTCAATGCTTGGGCCATCCTTTTGATCTGTACTACTGCATGACTGAGCATATGCAATGATAGTGTTGTGTCATTCCCAACCTCCTGTTTAGATGGCCAATGAAGAGAGCTATGGTTCCAGATTGTTTGTTGAATAGTTTCACTTTGAATGTCCAGTGCACCCCACCAGATTCTAGCAGCTGTGATTCCCTTCCCACTTCCTTGTTTTAAAGATAGGTCCACGAGATGCCCTCTCTGGGAATTAACAATCACAACCGCCTGAGAAGTAGAATCTAGTTCCATATTGAGTCCATCCATATGATATTTAAAATCAAACTCTTTAGCCCAGCTCAATCCAGAATCTGAGGAGCCCCAGACTAGAAACTTGTCAGTCTTGTTTTGGTGATGGAATGCTTTCAAATTGTCGCCCTTTACTAAAATCCTCATCTTGGCATCAGATTGAGTGACCACTGATTCTTCAATTGCAAAATTTTGTGGATCCTTCTGCCCCCATGACTGTGTCAAAACATCCTGGAGTATTAATATACAGTCACCAACCTGAGCTTGGTCCTGACTTTCAGCATAAGCAACACCCTTCTCCATTTGCAGCAATCTCCCCTCCTGGTACACTAAACACCCATCTCCAGAATCTTGTATAATCTGTGACATAGTTTTCAAAGAAACCTCTATTGAATTCAGCTGGGGATCTCCTTGGATCTGCTGATCTAGCCCCTGAACCTTCCATTTTATACGGTGTTTCAGAAAGTTTATTTCTACATCACCTAAAGTAGTCAGCCACTCCATTCCCAATACCAAGTCAGTTCCTTCCAAATTCAGAAAGTAAAAGTTTTGTTTTATGATTGAACCCTGCATACATAAAGTCAAATCTTCACATCTTCCATCATTAGATAGCTTTTCTCCATTACCGGCTTGCACTTTATATCCTGAAATGGTTTTAAAAGGCAGCTCCAATTCATCCACCAGTTTCTTAGAAATGAAGTTATGAGTGGCCCCACTATCAATCAGCACTTCCACTTGTTTTACCCCTCTATCCCACTTCAGAATTCCTTTAATCTTGAAAGCTCTCATGGTAGGTATCCCTTCCTTACTCATAAGTGACAAGTGCATGGATTTGGACTCCAACATCACTTCTTCTTCTGGAATTTCAGGTTCTTCAAAATCTGTTTCTTCTTCAGCATCTGAGTCTTCTACTAGCATCAACTTATAGTGCCTCAGCTTGCAGGTATGCTCTTTATTCCACTTTTCTCCGCACTTAAAACACAGCCCCTTCCGGCTTCTTTCCTGAAATTCTTCTTGAGATAACTGGGGTGCTACCTTCCTGATTCCTGAAGATTGCATGTCAGTGATCTTCTTCTCCATTTTCTCAAACCAGGAATTGAAATTCCTATTATCTGTTGCCTCATTTCCCTGATTATTGAATCCAGAGCTACCATATCTAGCCTTATAGCCTTCTCCCCAATTCTGAGATTTGCTAGGTACTGGTCCTTTTTCCTTCCATAAGAACATGCCTTCTTCCTTCCTTTTAAAATTCAATGCCTCATTTTTGTTTTCAATCAATATGGCCATGTCCATTACTTCAGCTAGAGAGCTAGAGTTGTGCATTTTCAGCTCAGCTTTGATCTCAACCTTCAGTCCATTGATAAAAATGCCCTTCAGGATTTCAGCATCAATATTAATTTGGGGTGTTATCACCATTTCAAACTCGTCTCGGAATTCCTGCACTGTACCTGTCTGTTTCAGGCTTAGCATCGGTCCATAGGGGTTTTGGATCAAATCAGGTTGGAACCTTCTGATAATAGAGGTCTTCAGAGTTTCCCAGTTTCTTCTCTCAATCTGATGCTCCCACCAAATAAACCAGTTAATCGCTCTGCCCTCCATAGCAACCACAGCTGCTTCAACCTGTTCTTCTTCCTGAATATGATTTACTCTGAAATACCTTTCCATCCTTACAATCCAATTGTACGCGTTATCTCCAGTGAAAATTGGTATATCAATTTTCCTACCGGTCTGGATAGAAAACCGATTATGGATCTCAGGCTCTCTGTGAAGTTGGATGCGGGAGTTGATCGGATTAATAGGGTTACCTCCAGAGGTCGTTGGACTGTTGGAAGATCGCACATGATGCCGCGGAGGAGATCGCGACCTCGCTCTGGATCTGGACTGATCGCGCAATTCAGCGATGGATGCTGTCACGCTTGTCGCTAATGCTTCCATTGCTGAACGCAGTTCGTCTCTCAGGATTCGATTCTCTTCCTTGGACTCAGATTGCACCTCATTTATTTTCCTCTCCATCGAATCCATTCGCAAATCCATTTTTGCTCTTGTTCGTACCATCCACTTCCGAACGAGGAAATTGTTTTGGACGTCGCACAGTAGATCCAACCACCAGGAGCTACTGCTCTGATACCATTGATAGAACCTGGTATAAATCTCAACAGAGCAATAACAATTCCGCAGGGATTGAAGCAAGAACAGATCGATGAAAGTGAAATATTGAAGTAGGTAGTAATCAGAATAGGTATACAAATGATGGGACTGTTCGAGAAGCCCACTCTCCAAGCCAAAATAACAATTCAATAATAGCCTCCTCTTTTTAGCTGACTCCCCCTTCTATTTATAGTCCATATCCACGCAGGGATAAAAGGAACTATTAACTAGTTAATTAACTAATAATAGACTTCTTGTCTTTTCTATCATACTCTTTAATGACTAGGGCCACTAATTATTTATTGAATAGGCCCACTAATTATTTATTCCTATCACAACAACAATCAATAAAAGCCATAGTTCAAAAACAGTAGTGCTAAAGCTAATACGCAAAGACACGTGGATGTGTGCTTGTGATTGTTTTGATTGAAAGAACCAAAAGTAAACCTCTGACATACAGATATAATCATCATCCAATTTGAATGAAATTAGTTTTCAAAAGCTTTTTCACTTTTTATTTATCATGATATTTTTGAAAACAGAAACAAACTAAAAACAGTCCAGTGCAGACTAAAACATAACCTATGCTAAATCAAAACTTAAGTCTAAAAAAATTATTATATCCTTTAATAGGGTGTAAATTGGACTTAAAACTTATTGACTCAATGATATGAAATTGATTTAGGAACAACAAATTTACCCTAGCTTGTTGACTGAAAAAAGATGAACTCACCTTGTTGAAGAATTAAAATGAAGAAAAGAGATGAGGATGAAGAACGGGATAGAGAAAGAAGAGCGTGGGTATGTTAATTTTATAAACTGGAAAATTCGTCAAAACATAAAATAGGCACTCTTTTTAATCAATTAATTGAAAGATAGCAGGGAAAGATACCTCTTACATATAAATGACCATCTCAAGCTCAGAGCTTCTATGTGGGATTGTGGGTGGTCAGGAAATCTAGAAGAAGATGAAACTGTTTGATCATGTGGACTTAACAAATGCTTGCATAGCAGAAAAAGGCAAATTTACAGTATAAGAGTATGATGAATTCTTACATTCAACTTTGTGTTAATTACAACATAAGTTATTACTTATGTTATTTGAAAAAGGTCCTTTTGCTGGAGCGATCCAATATTCCAATCTGAACAGAAGAAGAAAAATCAGAATGGAAAATCAAGATAAATTACATGGAGTACTATGTTTCAATCAAAATAATCACCAAATCAGTTATTAGCATAATCAAAAGTGTCATCACATGCCCAACATAATGGTTAGTAACGCTCAAATATATCAATATTACTAAACATATACGATAGTATTAGAATTAAGATTACACGTTTCAATAATATTGTGTACACAGATCAAATCTCCCGCCCCCAATTTTATATAAGCTTGGCTGATTAGATGAAACTTTTTTTGATAAATATAAGTGAAAAATCAAATGAATTAGATGACAACATTTCCAATTAAATAAGATTGTGAATATACTGCATAAGGCAACAAATGGAAATTGAAAACAGAAATGAAGTCAAATAGAAAAATATAACTCAAAATAGAATCAAATAGAAAATTCTGAACAAAACCAAACAGGCAAGAAAATAGAAGAAGGTTAACCAATGATCATCTCAATTCTTGAAGTAAGACTGCCTTTGCGTGAAGAAATGAAGTCTCTGTGGAGCAGAATAGTTCTGGCTTTTTTCAGGCTTTACTATTTGGACTAAGGAAAAATTGAAAATAATAATCCCAACTATTGCCGGTCCGCTGATAATAATCCCAACTATTGATTATTTTTGTATAATCCCAACTATATGGATCGTCCGCCAATAATGGTCCATGGTCAGATATTACCTCCTATAAAAAGTGAATTTTAAATAGAAATTAAGTGTAAAAATTAGAAGTTGAGATTATTTATAGGGATTACTTGCTATATCACTCCTCATCCACTTTAGAAACTACATAAATTTATTTATAGGGACCACTATTGGCGGAAGGTCCCTAAAGTTGGGATTATTCTGAAATAATCGATAGTTGGGATTATTATGAGCGGACCGCCAATAGTTGGGATTATTACTATCAATTTTTCCTTGGACTAATGATCAACCTTTCTCACATGATTGTTAAAACATAAAAGTTTAAGGGAGTTTTCAATTTTCAATCTTAAAACAAAGTAGTCATAAACCTGTAAGAATCTTATAAGGCCAATCCAAACATATATCATAAATACATAACACTCTTACTCTCTACCTATATGTATTTTAAAGACACTATCACATGAAAAACTTTTTTAGCAATGAAGTTATGTTATTTAGAGGATTAATTAACTCGGAGCTAATCAATAAAGGCATATAAATGAAATAAGCAACACTCCAGACCTTTGGTGCAAACAAATATATTCAAGGATTAGATTGCATATGATGTAAATTAAAAAAAAAAGGTTGAATTGATTTGAGTTGAATATAGTGTGTATTAATGAATAAAGTTGATAGAAACCTCTTATCAAAAGCTGATAGAAACCCCATATATTGTATTGATATAAAAGTTTTGAAGATTTAATTCAATATTTAGAAGTTTTAGAAACATTTCATCAAACATGTACTGTGCATAAAGTTAATATAGTCCATAATAAATAATTCAACATTGTCCATAAGCTCAACCCAACTTTAATGTCATGGAGAGCAATTAGAACATGAACCCAAACCATAGTAAGTAAAAGAGAAGAAAAATTGCAGATCTTTCATTTAAATATTCGCTTCTTAGTTAAGACTTTAGGCTTCAGTAGTATAATGGTTGAAGAGTGAAAAATTGTAGAAGTGCTCATCTCTCAATTATCTTTTGTCACTAAACAGAAAAGTGCATTATTTCCTCTTCACGTAGTACTTCTAGATGTTAATTCCTGATTTATTAAACCACATTTGATATTTAGTTATACTTACATATAGTTTACATCACCTAAAAGTATTCAAACAGCACACTAAAGATAAACAAACTAAAGAGAGATCAAAGGCAAGAACAAAAGTGCATTATTTCCTCTTCACGTAGTACTTCTAGATGTTAATTCCTGATTTATTAAACCACATTTGATATTTAGTTATACTTACATATAGTTTACATCACCTAAAAGTATTCAAACATCACACTAAAGATAAACAAACTAAAGAGAGATCAAAGGCAAGAACAAAAGTGCATTATTTCCTCTTCACGTAGTACTTCTAGATGTTAATTCCTGATTTATTAAACCACATTTGATATTTAGTTATACTTGCATATAGTTTACATCACCTAAAAGTATTCAAACAGCACACTAAAGATAAACAAACTAAAGAGAGGTCAAAGGCAAGAACAAAAACTTTTAGCAACTCAATCAAACACAGTGATTTGGAACCACAAAATATGCATACTTTAGACTTGGGGATTTGTATTTTTGTATAAACTGTTATTAACATTTGAAATCATTTAAATAAGCAGTATTTTTTTAGTGGATTAAGTCAAAACTAAATTAATCATAAAGTAGAGGTTTATTTATTTTAAGTATCAAATATCCCAATCTGGCAATATGTGGCAAGACTTCTTCACTCAGGGTTAGCAATATGGAAAGAATTCTGAAAATAAAAAGAACCTTCCTTCCAATTACATACCCGGGAAATTACCTTCATAAAGGTATTTTCATTGAAACCAAACTTACTCCATGGAGACAGAAAGCTTTTTCTCAAGGGGGAAGATGTACTCATCAAGCATGTTCTATCATCTCTGCCAATTCATATACTGGTTGCTGACACCCTACCAAAAAAAGTGATCAATATTTTGGACAAAAAAATTGTGGAAGCCTAGCTCCACTCTCTATGAAGAGCATATCATCTATCCTAATTTCAAATTCTACAACCAACATCCCATACTGGTCAAATGAATTAAGCTTAATGTTGATGCGGCTTATTTACCTCAGACATTTGCAGCCTACTATTCTTCAAATGACTGAATACTCAGGCATCTGTATCAAGAATGGAGGAAATTGAGAAGATTAGAGATAATAAGGCAATAGTGACTTTATTATGATACCTTGTCACAAGGTCAAGGAAACACATGAGTAGTAGCTGATGAAGGGGATGAAGGGAATGAAGGAAATGTGGGGCTGATGAAGTGATACGAAGAACATGACTTTTTGAGCGGGCTGCTGAAGTGGAAGAAGGGATGAAGGAACAAAAGAAGAAAAGTTGGAGTTTTTTCCTTGAATGCTTCTCTTTGACAGTTCTCACATTTCATCAAACATGTTCCGTGCATAGTTAACATAGTCATGGAGAGCAAACTGAACATTGAATCAAACCATATTAGATGAAATAGAAAACAAAAGAAAAGGCTCTGATAGAAAAAATAAAATCAAATGAAATTCTAATAAATGTACCTCATCATCCAAGAAGAACCATCTCTATCATATATGGGTGGGATGAACTCCTTTTGCTAGGGACGATTTACGAAGAATAAAGATGTTTGATGTGTCTAGCGTGTCAAAAGGGGGGAGGCTTTGAGAGCCGTATAAGAGGAGAAGGTTTGAGAAGCTAAAACTTCTCGAAAAATACGCGTAGGAAACGCATGAGTAGGAACTGATCTGCGAAGGGGAGAGGAGAACCAGAGTTTACGAAAATACCCTAGAAACTTTAGGCGGGAGAGGACTTAGTTGAGTTAATTAAGTATAGATAAGATGAGACAACTAACAATTGAGCGGAAAAATATTCTCTTATATGTAGTGCTTCTAGGTAAGAAGATAAGTTGATTAATAATTGAGCAGAAAAATATTCTCCCTCATATGTAGTGCTTTTAGATATTAGAAGATTAGAAGATAAGTTTGCTCACAATTGAGCAAGAGAACTTTCTCTCATATAACATTTTTTTAAGTATAAGATAAACCGACTAACAATTGAATGAAATAATTTTCTCTCTCATATATAGTGTTTTTAGGTATAAGAAAATAAACCGGCTAACAACTGAATGGAAATTTTCTCTCTCATATATAGTGCTTTTGGGTATTAGAAAATAAGCTCTCTACAATTGAGCGGGAAATATGTTTCTCTCATATGTAGTTCTTCTAAGTACTACCTCCGACCCTTAAAACTTTGCCAAAGTTGACCGGCACGGAGAATAATAAAGTAAAAACTATGTGGTTGAGGTTTGTGTAGACGAGAGAGAAATAACAAAAACCACAAAATATTGATTAAAATGGAAAGTGACAAAGTTTTGTGGGACGTCCCAAAAAGGAATGTTGACAAAGTTTTAAGAGATGGAGGGAGTATAAGATAAGGCGGCTAACAATTGAACGATTTTTCTCTCTCTCATATGTAGTGCTTTAAGGTATTAGATTAGATAAGTTGATTAACAATTGATCGTGAAAATTTTCTCTCTCATATGTAGTGCTTTTAGGTATTAGATAAGTTGACTAACAATTGAGCGGGAAAATTTTCTTTGTCATATGTAGTGCATTTAGGTATTAGAAGATAAACTTGCTAACAATTAAGCTGAAGAATTTGATCTCTCATAAACATTTCTTTTAAGTATAAGATATGTCGGCTAACTATTGAGTGGAAAAATTTCTCTCACATATGTTGTGCTTTTAGGTATAATAAATAAGATAAATCGACTAATAACAATTGAGCAGGAGAATTTTCTCTCTCATATATGCAGTGCTTTCATGTATGGCTTATACTGTATGATATTAGTTTATTGTACTTTTATTTTTCGAAAATAAATTTTAAATATTAAAATTAATTAGTTTAATATTTAATTAGATAATGAGTACAAACATATGCACGAACTGCTGTTTCTCGTGCGTGTTGTATGCACGGATAATATACTAATTAGAAAAGGAAAAAGAAAGAGTATTATCTAGTCTAGAAAAAATTGAGACCTGTGAAAAGGCGGGTCCCAAAAGCACACGAGAGATTCATAGCCGGTAGCGCCACCAGGCCAGGATGATGCCATCCTCACTCTCTCTCCCATCTTCCTTCCTCCACCGCGCAACTCCACCGCACTACCGCCACACAGTCACTCTCAGCTCCAATTGGCCGAGCAATTCCCGTTATCTAACTGTAAAAAACTCGCTGGACAAACCACCGCCCCCCTCAAAGACTAGCTCATGGGTGAGTCCGGACTGGCTAACGGGACTGACCAGATCGCTCACAGCAGGCCGGAATGACGATTCGAATATACCGACTGCGAGGGCAAAGCTGGATGACGTGTCTGACCTTCTGGGCGGAGCTCTGTTTCTCCCGCTCTTGAAGTGGATGAATGAGTACGGACACATCTACCGCCTCGCAGCTGGCCCTAGAAACTTTGTGGTGGTTAGTGATCCATCCATTGCGAAGCATGTCTTGAGAAATTACGGGAAGTATGGGAAGGGGCTTGTTGCCGAGGTGTCTGAGTTCTTGTTTGGGTCTGGCTTTGCCATTGCCGAAGGCCCCCTTTGGACGGTAAGCACTCCGTCTTTTCAATGTGTGGCGTTAATGGGTGCACATCTTGGTTCTATTTTTGATAATGTAGATCGAGTTTCGCGGAACTCTACTTTAGTTTTCAAAGATCAATGTTACCTTTGCATAAAAGACTTTGCTGCTTTCAATTCTTCAAAGAACAACTTTTCAAACCTTAATGCAAATATGATATCCGAGCTTATTAAAACAACAAATAACTCGGCCTGATTGAGACCCAAATGAGCACTTGAAGTTCAAGAGTGGAGATACATTAAAGACTCAAATGAGTATACAATAATACCATGTTCAAGATCTGTGTGCTTTACCACCATCTTCACAAACATCAGAAGCTTTTGACCTGAAATATTTCCTCTCTTGTAAAAGTGTTTTTTTGCTCAAGATTTATGTTTGTTATAGGCAAGACGAAGGGCTGTGGTTCCATCACTCCACAAGAAGTATTTGTCTGTAATGGTTGAGAGGGTGTTTTGCAGATGTGCTGAAAGATTGGTGGAGAAACTCACGCCTTATGCTCACAATGGCTCTCCAGTAAACATGGAGGAGAAGTTTTCTCAACTAACCCTCGATGTAATTGGGCTGTCTGTTTTTAATTACAGTTTTGATTCCCTTGAGACTAATAGCCCAGTGATTGGTGCGGTTTACACTGCTTTGAAAGAAGCAGAAATGAGATCAACTGATCTCTTACCATATTGGAAGGCAAGTCATTATGGTGACTGTATCTGTTTTTGTTGACTACAATTTATCCACTTAGGGAGTGGTTTGCATTTCCTTCTACTTGTGAGAAGTGATTTATTTTAGAGATTATGCGAAAAGTGATTAACTGTACTTGTTGGAAGTGTTCGAAAATAAAAACTTCTAAAAAAAGTAAAATTTAGAGTTCTTCATGAAAAAGCACTTTTTTTTATAAAAAAGTGAAAATCAGTTTTAAGCATTCCCCCTACTTTCAGCTTTTAATTTCAAATTGCTCAAGTTTAAGTGAAAGCATGTATTAGAAAACAAAAGGCTGAAAAATACTTTTTCAAGTAATAGCTAACACTCATTTAGTATTATTTAGGGAAAAGAACGGAAAAGGTATTAGTGGTTGAGCCCGTTTTCAGATAGGGTCATGTGTTTCATTCTTTATCAAAGTGGTTCATGTGTTTGAATTCCGTTATCACAAGAGGGTCACGCCATTGAAAGCGTCTGAAAAAGACCGTTAAAAGTAACTCCGATTTTCAAAAGTGCCCGAAAAATTAAAAGAAAAATACCAGAATGTGCGCCTCAATAAATTGACCGCTACGCTATCTTTCTTTTTTGTTTTCAGCCACCCTTGTCACCGGAAAGTCCCCTGGAAAAGTGATATAAGCGAAATCATTTTTAAAAAATAATTCAAAAGATCTGAGTAATCCAAAGGCGAAGGTGGTTTGGAGGTCAAGTTGACGAGGCGCACCTTTCGGTATTTTACTTTTAATATTCCGGGCACTTTTGAAAATCGGGGTTACTTTTAACGGTGTTTTTCAGACGTTTTTAACGGCGTGACCCTCTTGTGATAACGGAATTCAAACACATGAACCACTTTGATAAAGAATGAAACACATGACCTTATCTGAAAACGGGCTCAAGCACAAGTATCTTTTCCGTACTTTTCCCTATTATTTATTTAGACCGACCGGATCAATTGCAGATCAAAGCTTTGTGTAAACTGGTCCCGCGACAAGTAAAGGCAGAGAGGGCAGTTATGCTAATCAGACAAACAGTTGAAGAGCTCATTGCAGAATGTAAAGAGATGGTGGAAAGTGAGGGTGAGAGTATATGTGAAGATGAGTATGTGAATGAGACCGACCCAAGCGTCCTAAGATTTTTACTTGCTAGCAGGGAAGAGGTTTACAACTTATTTTGAAACAATTTTTTAGGTTCTATTAGCTTTATCAAGAACTTGAATATGTGCGCATTGTAGGTTTCAAGTGCACAACTTCGTGATGACCTTTTATCTATGCTTGTTGCGGGGCATGAAACCACTGCTTCCGTATTGACTTGGACATCATACCTCCTAAGTAAGGTATCATACAGCTGTATTTATTTCTTGTATTGAGTTTCAAACATGAGAATTGTTGAACCCAAAGGTAGTTGACTTCCCTGATCAATATAAGAAATACTCCTTCCGTCCCTGTTTGAGCTCCTCATTTGACTTCACAGAGTTTTTAACATAGCGAAAAGTATGTTGCAAAAATTTGTATAGAAGAGAGAGAAGAAGTCATATAAATCACATAGTCTTTCACTGAAAAGGAAGTTTAGATATTTTGGGGAATAAAAGAAGAAAAAATAAAAAAGGGTAGAGTAATAATTTAAGCCCTTTTCATCGCTGCACACACATTTAAGGATATAACTTGAAGCCTTACAATAGTATCAGAGCATATTAAGATCAAACAGTACTGTCATAATTAATCCTATTGCAGGACCCTTCCTCTTTGAGAAAAGCACAAGAAGAAGTCAGCCAAGTTTTAGGGGGAAGAACTCCTACCTATGAAGATATAAAAAATCTCAAGTTCTTGACACGGTGCATATTGGAGTCTATTCGCCTGTATCCTCATCCTCCTGTATGCTGGCATTGTTCTCCTAGTTGAATATTTATTATGCATTTTTTTTATGCTGACTTGTTTCCTCTCAAACTAATTTGATTAGGTATTACTACGGAGAGCTCAAGTAGCTGATGTTTTGCCTGGGAATTATAAAGTGAATGCTGGTCAAGATATAATGATTTCAGTATATAATATTCATCATTCTACAATGGTCTGGGAAAGAGCAGAAGATTTTCTTCCAGAAAGGTTTGGCATAGAAGATCCCATGCCTAATGAGACTAATACTGACTTTAGGTATTCATGTCCACAAAATCCCTTTTTATTTCACCTTTATATTCTACTACTTTAGGATTTTTTTCTCCTCATGTTTTGCTGGATGTTGTTGTTGTTGTTTTGGGACTAAGGCTTGAATGCTGCTGTTTTGCTGGATAAGTGACTGAAACGGATCAAAAGCAGCAAGAATTTCATAGTCATGCACCACAAGTGAAAAGTTGTCAATGTTTTCAGTCATTTACAGATTCATAAACTACTTATTGCAGATTCATCCCTTTCAGCGGAGGGCCTCGTAAATGTGTTGGTGATCAGTTTGCCTTGCTAGAAGCTATTGTGTCTATGGCAATATTTTTGCAGAACATGAGCTTTGAGTTGATTCCAGATCAAAATATTAGCATGACAACAGGAGCGACCATTCACACTACAGATGTAAGATGCTTAGCTAGTGCTGATTAGGATTGTGTTTGGCAAAAGATGATCCTGATTCTGAGAATCAGAATCAGAACCAGATTTTGAGAGAATAGATTAAATCAAAAAGCTAACCAATACCATTTTTCTCTTGGGTGTAGGGTTTGTACATGAAAGTGAAACAAATACGGAAACGGTCTGCATTGACATGAATCTTGATCTGGTACTTAAGTCATTAAGTCGCATTATCTTTACGTTTGTAATCATAGGACACTCTGCTCGGCAAATCTGTGCTATTAGATCAGCATATGTCTATAACTCTAGTGATGGATGATTTTCTTGCTCTTTTGCTCAAGCTATATGGAGGGTCTAGATGGTTGGAGTGAATGGAGTCTGATCCATGAGTTGTCCTTTGCCAAGGAGAGAAAATGGATTTCAAGGGGAAGAGTTTAAATTGTGACTTTTTTTTTTGGTAGAATAAATTGTGACTTTATTGCAAGTACAAAATCATTATTTGTGACTATGTACATGTGATCACGTGGATGTCTCTCTATACTAGTGTGAAGTGTCCATACTCTAGTTACACTAAATTTTATTTAAATCTCTAATATATATATATATATATATATATATATATATATATATATATATATATATATATATATATATATATATATATATATATATATATATATATATATATATATATATATATATATATATATATATAGAGTATGGATCAAATAAAAAGTGCTTCCTAGATGAAAAATAAGAACTAATCTTGGCCATTGATGTGAAAAAATGGATGGAAAAGATCAATTTTGAGGTAGGAAACGCGGTGGCTTAGTTGTAATTATGGAGAACTTTTATTGAAAATATTGTGACAAATATACATTTGAATAATCAAAAAGTGCACATGTAGAACACAAAAGTGCAATACAGTACAAAATAAAAAGTGCACAAGCTGGAAAATTTTAACAATCTTTTTTGACACGCATGAGTGCACCTTTAATCAGTAATTATCCACTTTAAAGTATAAACGTTTGCACATTTTTTTAATCATCTCTTGTGTTTAAAGTTCATAATCCATCCATTTTCAAGTGATGGAAGGTCAAGATTTGTTCTCACTTTTCATGGGGAGACTTAGGGATGGCCCCGGGCCGTTCGGGCTCGGTTCGGGCCTAGGCCCGGCCGGGCCTCGGGTCTGTTTTGTTGGGCCCGAGCCCGAACCGGTGGCCACCGGTTCCGGGTCCGGTTCCGGGCCGGGCCACCCGGTTAGTTTTTTTTTTTTCTTTTCTTCCCCCCCCCCCACCCCCCACCCCCCCAAACCCCCCAAACCGGTCCTAAACATCAAGCCCAACTCAATAAAGCCCAAAAAAATGAAAAAAAAAACAGTTTTTGGCCCGGACCCGGGCCCGACCCGGCCGGTTCGCCAAATACAAGGCCCGAGCCCGGACCCGCCCCCCCACCGGGCCTAGGCCCGACCCGGACCCGGACCCGAGAACCGGGCCGGTTCCGGGCCCGCACAGTGGCGGGCCGGGCCGGGCGGCCCGAACCGGGTCCATGACTAGGGAGACTACTTTTTACTTGAACCCTCCCCGATATATATATATATATATAAACGCAAAAGTGTGGCCCCACTTTGAGCGGGAATTGTTAGCGCTCATTGTCTAGCATAACTAAAACAATTAATGCCCAGACGACTAACACAATCGCTTTTTTAGAAGAATAGCATCCCAATGTCGCTGCAGGGGCTGTAATTAAATACTTCAAGGCTGTTCATCTTCCGATGCTTGAGCTTCTCGAGAATCAATAGTTCCAGCTGCATGGCTTATATAAGTGTGAAAGTGTCACAGCTTACTTAGTGTCGTAAGGAAAATCACGAACTAAACACCGACACTTGATCTTCCCAAAACGGTAGTACGGTTCTTAATTTGTGACTCATTTTTGAGTCACCAATTGTAGCTTAATTAGGTCGGTGAAAGGTTTTGGTCATTGATGTTATAGGTTGGGCCATAGGGCAGCGAAGTGTTAAGGTGACAAATAGCCAAGGGAGAGTGGAGGAAGACTTCAGCCACTGATGGGTTGATTAGGGCGGTGGAGGGTATCGGTGGTTACCACTGAGGTTCAGGACGTCGATCAGCGGCCAATGGACGTTTCGGTCATGGATGTCGCTTGGGAGAGCTGAGCTAGCGAGGAAAGGTAAAAAGTTATCTTCACCATGGGATGTCATGGTTGTCATCAGGGCGGCGGAGGCTAGCGCTATGGTTTATTTCTTTCATCCGTTGCTTCAATTTTATTTTGGGATAAATGAACCTGGCTACATGGATTATCTTGCGTTCAAATGTAACTTTTTATTTGCTTATATTCTACTTGGACATTTAATATGTGGTTAAGTTTTATATGTGTGTGTGTGTATAATACATGTATATATACTTATATATGTCATATATACTTTGTACTATGTATATAAGTAACTCAAAAATGCAGATTTGTATGAATTGTATCGTGTTTTTAAATCAACACAGAGTTGTTTATTTGTAATATGTTAACAACTTAACATATATGGTCCGTTGTTTGCATTTGTTTTGAGATGATAATATATTTTAAGGAAGAATAATATATTGTATATTGTAAAATTAGTTCTGTCTCATACAAAGAGCCGAGTGTCTATATATATACATGTGCGAAATACTACTGCTAAGGAATAGAGCCCTGGCCCAGTTAATTACACCGTATGTACAATTTATAGCAAAGCCCACTCTAATACCCCCCCTCAAGTTGGAGCGTGTGGGTCAAACATGCCCAACTTGCGTAATAGATGATCAAATTGGCGTTTGCCTAGAGCCTTTGTAAAAATGTCTGCCAACTGTTCGGTAGTAGAGACATGCTTAGCCGTAATCAGACCCTCCTGTAGTGCATCCCGTACATAATGACAATCCACTTCAATGTGCTTGGTGCGTTCGTGAAAGACCGGATTATGAGCAATATGTAATGCAGAACGGCTATCACAATATAAAGGTATAGGACTAGGATGAGCAATGCCAAAATGAAGTAGAAGACTCTTGAGCCACTTTAATTCTGCGGTAATCGCTGCCATGGAGCGGTACTCAGCTTCAGTGGAGGAGCGAGAGACTGTGTGTTGCTTCTTGGTCTTCCAAGAAATGGGGGACCCGCCAAGAAATATCAACCAACCAGAAAGAGACCGTCGAGTAAGTGGGCAGCTTGCCCAATCAGAGTCACACCACCCGGTAAGTGTCAGATCACACGATGATCGGAGTAAAATTCCGTGTCCGAGGGACCCTTTGAGGTAACGAACAACCCGAAGCGCTGCCTGCCAGTGTTCTTGTCGTGGAGCCTGCATAAACTGAGACAAAATGTGAACGGCATATGCCAAATCCGGGCGAGTGAAAGATAGATAAATAAGACGACCAACAAGTCTCCGATAAGACTCCGGATTAGCCAGGAGATCACCCGTAGCAAGGCCCAAGGAATGATTTTGCTCCATAGGAAAAGAGGAAGGTTTAGCCCCAAGAAGACCCGCTTCAGAGATAATATCCAAGATATATTTTTGTTGACAAAGATATATTCCATCAGAGCTCCGAGCCACCTCAATGCCCAAGAAGTATTTGAGAGTACCCAGATCCTTCATGTGGAAACAAGTATTCAAATATGATTTAAAATGAGACAAAGAGTCAGAATTATTCCCCGCAATAATCAAATCATCCACGTAGACAAGAACATGCATTTGCACCTCACCCTTGCGGTAGGAAAATAGCGAATAATCTGCATAAGACTGGGCAAATCCATATTGTTTAAGAGAGGTAGCTAATTTTGCAAACCAGCACCTCGGAGCCTGGCGGAGACCATATAACGATTTGCGCAGCCGACATACAAGACCCGATTGTGGTGGAGAAAAACCAGGGGGAGGCCGCATGTAGACCTCTTCAGCCAGGTCGCCATGCAGAAAAGCATTATGGACATCCATTTGATGTAGTTCCCAGTGCTGAGCGGCAGCGATTGCTAGAAGGAGACGTATGGTGACCATTTTGGCCACAGGAGCAAAAGTTTCCGTGTAATCAGTACCAGCCTCCTGGTGATTCCCAAACACAACCAGACGAGCTTTGAGGCGCTCAACAGTGCCATCAGATTTATACTTAATTTTGTAGACCCACTTGCAACCGAGTGCCTTTTTACCGTGGGGTAGAGGAGCCATGTCCCACGTGTGATTATTTTCAAGGGCCTGTATTTCACTTTGCATGGCAGCACGCCAACCAGAATCAGTCATGGCTTCCCGGAACGACCGAGGTTCCTGACCTGTAAGAATAGCTCCAAGAAACAAACGATGACCAACAGAGTACTTATCACAAGAGACGTAATGAGTAATAGGATACCGCGTACCTGAGGAACTGTCAGAGGGTGGCGAACGAGATGGGCTAAGACGCTGGATATGATGAGCCACATAATCCCGGAGCAAAACCGACGGACGCTTGGAACGCATACCGCGGCCGAGAGCAGAAGTGTCAGAAGTAGTGTCGTGCGGGGGGGTTTCGGTAGCAGCCATTGGCACAACCGCGGGATCAGAAGAAACAACATCAGGCGGGTCAAAAATAGGAGTGGCATCGGATGGAATGTCAGGAGCAAGCGTAACCGCGGGCGAGCCATTAGATGTATCTGAGAAAGGAAACACATCCTCATGAAAATGGACATCTCGAGAGACGAAAATATCCCCTGTAGCATAATCAAGCATCTTCCATCCCTTCTTGCCGGTAGAGTACCCGATGAAAACACATTTCCTGCTTCGCGGAAGGAATTTGTCTCCACCAGTTTTCAAATTATGGGCAAAAGCCAAACACCCAAACACTCGCAGTTGATGAAAGTCAGGCGGCTTCCCAGTAAGATGCTCATAGGGTGTTTTACCTTCTAGAAGGCCCGAGGGAGTGCGATTTATAAGATGAACCGCTGTGAGCACACACTCTCCCCATAAATAGAGTGGAACATTAGCCTGAAACATGAGTGCCCGAGCAACATTTAAATTATGGCGGTGCTTACGCTCCACCCTATCATTTTGTTGAGGTGTGTGTACACATGAGGTTTGAAACAAAATTCCACGTTGCTCAAAGAAAGGTAGCAAACATTTAAACTCGGTGCCATTATCACTGCGAACAGTCTTAACCGAAACGTCAAATTGTTTTTCTATCATAGCAATAAATGAGAGAAAAAAACGATGTACTTCCTTCTTATCACGAAGCAGATAAACCCACACAGCACGTGAATAATCATCAACCAGAGTCATAAAATAAGTAGCATCACAAGTAGAGGGGGTTTTGTAAGGACCCCATAAGTCACAGTGAATTAACTCCAAAATTCTACTTGCTTTATTATTACTAACAGGAAAAGAATCACGCACTTGTTTGGCTTGTGGACACACCTCACAAGGTTTATTCAAACGTTTGATAAAGGAACTATTACTAATATCGGGCAACAATTTAATCACGCGATCAGACGGATGACCCAAGCGGCGGTGCCATAATTCAAACATAGGCAAAGCTGAAGTGTGGATGGCATGTAACACAGGTACCCCCCGAAAAAGATATAGCCCATCTCGTCGTTCACCTGC